TCAACCGTTATCAGTCATGGTACCCTTTAACAGTATGCAACATCTCGAGGCACCCCCAGTCTAAAACGTTTAAAAAAAACAAAGCAAAAAAAAAAAAAACTTGTGGCCCCCTCCAAAATCCATACCAGGCACTTATCCCAGGATAGGCATCTGGAATGGATTTTAAGGGAGGGGACCCACAAAAAAAAAAAATGGGGCTCCTGCCACATCAGAGCCCCCACTGTCATATCACAGTTCCCACCTTTCACATTAGAGTGTCCCCTTCATATCAGAAGCCCTTTACACATCAGCATCCTTGCCGCCCCCCCTTCACATCAGAGTCCTACATTTACAGCATAGGCTGCAACTGTGGCAGCATGGAAGGGGGCAGGCCTGGATGGAGGCAAATGCATCTTTTTCTGAATGGCTCCCACCCTCCCTGGATTAGTGTCATTCCTTTCCATTGTGCCTGCACCATGGAAAGACAGGATGCTGCGTGAAAATGTCAAGGCTGCCAGAATACACCTTGGTTGAGAAAGGCTGTTCTCCTGTTAGAAGACTCACTCTCTCCAATTGTCCTGATCACTAATGTCACCAAGAAAGAAGAAGGGTAAACAACATTTTTGAGTTGCTGCCAAAACAGGAATAGAAGGGAAATCTTCCAATAGGAACATGTGTTCCTGTGACAACTGTCACAGATGTGATTTTCCTCACATTAGAAAGATAGCCTGCCAATTCCTGTTGAGTCTTCAGGACAGGAAGTGAAGTAGACCCTTATGTACAAAAAAATAAAAAAATAACAGACACACACCACACACACTCTTTGAACCCTTCCCTTACTCTACCCAAAATGAAAAAAGTTTTGTCTTTAGATATACTATAGCTCAGATTCACACTTGCATTGTGGTTTTGCACATTTGTCATTCATTTCAATGGGCTCCCTTACATGCTACTTGTCATCTGCACAAAACGGACGTATTGCTTGGTGCATTCCGAATGCCGTCAACAACCGCAAGGGTGACACGTTTTCCACGCTCACAAAAATCACACTACTGTAAATGGAGGCTCAGGGTTCATTTGGCATTTTGAATGTTTATTCCTAAGGGAGTTCCCCCGTATTCAAATAGATGACATGACACGGTACGTTTACATCACTTCTGGCCCCAGAGGAGTTCACTAGAACATTCCTATGGGAGTCATCCAAACACATTCTACAGCACATCTGGAAAGTCGCCCAGTCACCTACTAGTAGCGTGTGTGTTCAATGGAGAAGATGGTCAGTGGGATGTGCAGCCACAGGTAGGACAGACCGCTATGATCCTGGTGAAATAAAAATCTATCAACGCAGGACAATCTGGACTAGAAATCAGATTTTCTGGACACCAAGTCAATTAATAAAAACCAAAAAAACACAATTTCAAATATAGTAAACATAAGTTAAAAGAAAAAAAAAACTGCATATAGTATTATATACAAACAGTATGGACAGTTGTATCTTTAAAGAAGATGCAAAGTGATCAGAAATTGTCAAATATTTTCCAGCTCATTCAGATGAGACTACTACAACTACTACTACTACTACTGTGCAGTGAGGGCAGTACTTGTGTCTGGCGAGATATTTGGTTCCCGGCCCACCAGGTGACTTATAAGGCAGCTAATGTAACATGGAGGTTAAGCCCGTCTAATCTGGCATTGTAAGCGACCATAGACGAGGGATCAGGAGACTGACCCAAAGTAAATAATCAGGTATATGGTTTCCACAAATGTTCAGGAAGCCAGACCGGTCATTCAAGTGATGTGCTGGGCTGAACCTACTGGCACATGACAGGAGAAATGCAGGATGCCCGAGGAGTGATATGAAACCTGAAAGCAGCACCATTACACTTCAACAAAGACATACACATCCAACTGGATATGTACATAGAATAGATCATGAGTGATGCCCATTATACTCAGCACTGTCCTATTCTACATCAGCACCCTTCTACACCATCACAGCACCATGGAGCCACCCTTCTACCCCATCAGAGCACCATGGAGTCACCCTTTAACCCATCAGAGCACCATGGAGTCACCCCTCTACCCCATCAGAGCACCATGGAGTCACCCTTCTACCCCATCAGAGCACCATGGAGTCACCCTTCTACCCCATCAGAGCACCGTGGAGTCACCCTTCTACCCCATCAGAGCACCGTGGAGTCACCCTTCTACACCATCAGAGCACCGTGGAGTCACCCTTCTACCCCATCAGAACACCGTGGAGTCATCCTTCTACCCCATCAGAGCACCATGGAGTCACCCTTCTACCCCATCAGAGCACCATGGAGTCATCCTTCTACCCCATCAGAGCACCATGGAGTCACCCTTCTACCCCATCAGAACACCATGGAGCCACCCTTCTACCCTATCACAGCACCATGGAGTCAAATGGCAGCCCAATTCATACAATTCTACATTTCTGTACAGATTCATTCACACCATTTATAAACTTGTTCCATCCAGACACATTGTACATGACGGGTAACAGAGGGTGGAAATCTCACTTTCTGCAGAGAAGATAGGAACTCGGGTTCTCACTATTGGGGTCAGACAAGTGTCTCAACTGTGCCCCCCCTGCCAAGTCCATGTGGGTGGGAATCGGACTGAGCGCACTTTCCTTTTTCTGGGCACAAAACCCTCAATTGGGATTTTCATCTTCCAGGAAGACCGAGAGCTATAATCATTCAAACTTCGTTCCTGCATTTAATCATCAAAGCCCCTCCTTGATTCAGGTCATGACTAACCCAAAACAAACTGAAGTTTACTATGGTACCACATGTCCCAGCAGAGGAGGAGCTGGACCACCCACACCCCCCTCTGTCCAGGGTCTTATATCACCCCTTCCCCTTGGGACCCCCAGCACCCCCTCCCTAGTACCCTCTCCCCTTTTCCCAAGTGCCCCGTTACCCCCTGTGGTGCCTTAACCCAGATTTCCCTGACACCTCCTGCTCACTGTGATCCGCCCCCCCCTTCAGGCCCCCCTCTCCAGTGTCTCAACACCTCTTCCCCCTCACTCCCACCCAGTTCCTCCTTCGACCCCTTTCCCCAGTATCCCCTATCCCTGTGGCCTCTCACACCGGTCCTGATCCCAGAAGCCCCTCTCCTCAGTAACCACCTGACCCCCTACCCCCCCCCTCTCCCCAGTGTCCCCTGCAGCCTCCTCACCCCTGTACCCACTTCAGCCCCTCTCCCCAGTGACAGCCTCACCCCTGTACCCACTTCAGCCCCTCTCCCCAGTGACAGCCTCACCCCTGTACCCACTTCAGCCCCTCTCCCCAGTGACAGCCTCACCCCTGTACCCACTTCAGCCCCTCTCCCCAGTGACAGCCTCACCCCTGTACCCACTTCAGCCCCTCTCCCCAGTGACAGCCTCACCCCTGTACCCACTTCAGCCCCTCTCCCCAGTGACAGCCTCACCCCTGTACCCACTTCAGCCCCTCTCCCCAGTGACAGCCTCACCCCTGTACCCACTTCAGCCCCTCTCCCCAGTGACAGCCTCACCCCTGTACCCACTTCAGCCCCTCTCCCCAGTGACAGCCTCACCCCTGTACCCACTTCAGCCCCTCTCCCCAGTGACAGCCTCACCCCTGTACCCACTTCAGCCCCTCTCCCCAGTGACAGCCTCACCCCTGTACCCACTTCAGCCCCTCTCCCCAGTGACAGCCTCACCCCTGTACCCACTTCAGCCCCTCTCCCCAGTGACAGCCTCACCCCTGTACCCACTTCAGCCCCTCTCCCCAGTGACAGCCTCACCCCTGTACCCACTTCAGCCCCTCTCCCCAGTGACAGCCTCACCCCTGTACCCACTTCAGCCCCTCTCCCCAGTGACAGCCTCACCCCTGTACCCACTTCAGCCCCTCTCCCCAGTGACAGCCTCACCCCTGTACCCACTTCAGCCCCTCTCCCCAGTGACAGCCTCACCCCTGTACCCACTTCAGCCCCTCTCCCCAGTGACAGCCTCACCCCTGTACCCACTTCAGCCCCTCTCCCCAGTGACAGCCTCACCCCTGTACCCACTTCAGCCCCTCTCCCCAGTGACAGCCTCACCCCTGTACCCACTTCAGCCCCTCTCCCCAGTGACAGCCTCACCCCTGTACCCACTTCAGCCCCTCTCCCCAGTGACAGCCTCACCCCTGTACCCACTTCAGCCCCTCTCCCCAGTGACAGCCTCACCCCTGTACCCACTTCAGCCCCTCTCCCCAGTGACAGCCTCACCCCTGTACCCACTTCAGCCCCTCTCCCCAGTGACAGCCTCACCCCTGTACCCACTTCAGCCCCTCTCCCCAGTGACAGCCTCACCCCTGTACCCACTTCAGCCCCTCTCCCCAGTGACAGCCTCACCCCTGTACCCACTTCAGCCCCTCTCCCCAGTGACAGCCTCACCCCTGTACCCACTTCAGCCCCTCTCCCCAGTGACAGCCTCACCCCTGTACCCACTTCAGCCCCTCTCCCCAGTGACAGCCTCACCCCTGTACCCACTTCAGCCCCTCTCCCCAGTGACAGCCTCACCCCTGTACCCACTTCAGCCCCTCTCCCCAGTGACAGCCTCACCCCTGTACCCACTTCAGCCCCTCTCCCCAGTGACAGCCTCACCCCTGTACCCACTTCAGCCCCTCTCCCCAGTGACATCCTCACCCATGTACCCACGTCAGCCCCTCTCCCCAGTGACAGCCTCACCCCAGTGTCCTCTGCAGCCTCCTCACCCCTGTATCCACATCAGCCCCTCTCTCCAGTGTCCCCTGTAACATCCTCAGCCCTGTACCCACTTCAGCACCTCACCCCAGTGTCCCTTGCAGCCTCCTAAGCATTGTAGCCACTTCAGCCCCTCTCCCATGAAACATCCTCATCCCTGTACCCAATTCAGCCCCTCTCCCCAGTAACATCCCAACATGTGTTTCCCCCTTTGGCCCCTCGCCCCAGTAACACCTAACATGCGTTTCCCCCTTTGGCCCCTCGCCCCAGTGCCTCTCGTCATCCCCTACCTTGTCAGAGTCCAGGTCCGGGTCCGCCTGGCACAGCCGGTACAGGAAGGATTTCGGGTCTCTGCACAGAGTTTGTCTGGTTGTCAGAAAACACGTCCCCCCCACATTGAGCCGGACCCACTTGGACACGCCGCCTCTCTCCCCGGGGGCCGCACACCTCCGGCACACCACCGCCGCTCCGGAGCCGTTCAGCTCACAGCTCTCCTCCGCCATGTCCGTCACTCCCCAGCCACTGACAGCCCCGGAAGTGTCCGCGCTTTAATAGTCTCCCCCTCCTGCGGGCTGGGCGCCTTCCTGGCTACTCACCGGAAGTTCCCGAGCCGGGGACAGTGCGCAGTGGTGCACCCGGCGGAAGTAAACAAAGGAAGGCGCCCGATAGCGATTCCTATAAATGAACAATGCTGGCATTAGTGACTGTTCAATCCACAGAGAGCGCAGGAATAAACATGAATTTATACTACAATATAACTTATGTCCGCTTTGTCATTTATTGCCCACTGATAAAGGCGATCAATAAAAAAAAATCTACGATGTATGCTTAGTTTTTTTTAAATAATATTTAGGGCCCATTCACACCCTCACCTCTCTTCTGTTCCTTGTGTCCCTGAGTAAAATGTACTATTTACTGCCAAAACGGTTATTCCCTGCTAATAATTTAATCAAACCTCTAAACTGTTGGATTTGTTATTATAAAGCTCATTATAAAACCTCATACATACTGGCAGACGCTGGTCATTTTGGAGAAGATAGTCCCCCATGAACACATATGGGGGAATCACTAAAAAAAAGGAGGCAAATTTTGTCTCAAGTGCAGCTAAGCCAATCAGCTTTTACGTCTTCATTTTCTAAGTTGTGCGGAATTTTTTTTTATAGATGCTGAATTGTTGCTATGGGCAACCACACTGGGTTGAGATAGAACTGAGGCGTGTTCTGCTGCTCAGCCGCTGCGAGTGCTGACTTAGCAAACAGCGGCTAAACTCTGTGCTGCAAGTCAGCGCTCAGCATTGCTAACTTAGCGCTCGCAGCGTATGTGGATGCAGAGCGCTGAGTGTGACGGAGAAGGTGGGGACAGAGCACCAGCGGCCATTTTAACTGTGGGCACACCTAGCAGCGCTGGAGAAAAGTGCTAGAACCCCGATGGAGGAAATCAATCCAGTTTGGGAACCTACAATATATTGTTTTGGTGGAAGAGCACACCAAATATTAGTTGGAAAATTGTACTTATTAGTCAATATTATCCTCCCCTATTTTGCTTGGCACTGTGCTGCCGAAGCGTTCAGTGAAGCTGCAGCGAACTGAAGTGCTGCAGAACAGCTACTCAGCGCTTGGCTAAGGAACTGAACGCACCTCTGGTCTCAGACACTTTCCCCCCGCCCAAATATGTGTGAACAGCAACATTTGTATTAATGGCTGTGCCACCACTGTCCGCATGTAAGCACTCATACCAGCAGTTAAATAGAGCTTATGACCGGCCCTGGACACAGACAGCTTGCATCCACAGGAGTGGGTAACTCCGGCCCCCCAGCTGTTGGGGAACTACAAGTCCCATCAGGCATTGCAAGACTCTTACAGCCACGACTCCCAGAGGCAGAGGGATTATGGGATTTGTAGTTAAAGCACTGCCAGAGGGCTTGAGTTGCCCACCCCTGGTCTATGACCCAGACATCCCAACCTGCAAAACCTTATTTCAGGGAGGTGCTCTTCTCATTTCAGAGAGGTACCTTCTCTGTTTTTAATATTTTGACGGCGGCCGTCAGGCCACCGTCACAATAAAAACAAAAAAACCTAAATGGCAGGTGAATGAATAGCTAGGCTGCTATTGGTCATTTTAAATTGCAATAGCCAATCCAATAGCAGGCTCGCTCTTGTACCCACCCACTGATGCTGTCAATCAGCAGAGGAGCACCTCAGGTCCACCTCTGCTGATTGACAGCAGCAGCATGTAATGTTAATAATCACAAATAAAATACAAATAAAATAAGTTATTTATACTCAGCAGGACTAGTGAGCGCACCAGACCCGGAAAGGTTTAAATCCTTTCCGGGATAAAATGTCTCTCTTGCGGGCGTTCGGGAGCCGCTATCTAATAGCGGGAGACTCCCGGAACGTCCAGGAGACTTGGGATGTCTGAGGACCACACAGCACCCATGTGAAAGGAGCTTTGGGGTTGCTTTCTTTCTACTGACTACCAATGTTAAGGGCATTTTTTTTCCATTGACTCCCGATGGATTGGGTTCAGTAAGGGTTCCCCAAGACCTAAAAGTTATTTTAGTGGTTTCACTGGGGTAAAAAAGTTGAGAAAGGCTGGTGTAGACAATAAACCAGTCTCATTTATTATTATTATTACATAGTATTTATATAGCGCCAACAGTTTGCGCATCGCTTTACAATGTAAGGAAGACATTACAATTACAATACAATTCAAGACAAGATGGTAAGGAGGGCCCTGCCCCTGAGGGCTTACAATCTGAAAGAGGAGGGGGAAATGATACATGAGGAGGTAATTTAAAGTGGTAACTCTGCCTGATGACTGCCCAGGATACCAGATTCATGATGATTAGGCAGTCTCATTCATAAATTCCTCTCTTATATGCTATCAAGTTGCACTGCAACAGAATAAAACCTGCCCCTGACCACTTCTTAATTGTGAGACAGTTTTGAATGAAAATTTGTCTCATTTCCAGTTGTAAACATGTCACAGTTCATGGAAATAGATCTCAGTTGACTGCCCAGGACACAGGCGCAGAGGTTGTAAATACGCATAAAACTGTCACATAGAATCTGCTGACAGACTGCCTCATTGGTGTCTACATTTATCACTAATTTGCTTGATAAATATCCCTCCATGGGTGTCTTCTGCCCTCCTCAAGGGTTGGGTCAAAGGTTTTGCACAGTGTTATGCCTTTTCATGGTACAGGCAGGTTTCTGTAAAGTAAGGAATTTGATGTAAAGAGGTGCTCCTCATGTGAAGGGGGCTCCTAATGTAAAGGAAGGATTCTGATGTGAAAGACAGGATTCTGATGTGTAGGTGGGAACCCCCTTTTTTGTGTTTTTGGATGGGGTTGCCCCTTAAAACCTATACCAGACCCTTATCTGAGATATGGGGCTGGTAGGGCTTTTGGAGGGGCCACATGTCATATTTTTACATTTAAGTTTTTCACGTTTTAGGCTGGGGTGCCTCTAGATTTTGCACACTTTTAAACGTTGAGGAACGCCTCTCTAGCACATCAAGGGTCCGGTCACACTACACTATATTGAACCCCAGGCAGATATAAAATAAATAAAGTAAATGCAGCGCTGTACTCACTAATACATAACAAAATGTGTTTTCTTTGTAAATGCAAGCAGTGTTAATAATTTGCAAATGGCTTGTGCGCTGTTCCGGTCTCACGGAATGCTTATAGTTGAACCGTTGAACTATAAGCATTGCATGAGACCGGAACAGCGCACAAGCCATTTGCAAATTATAAGGCCTTGTTCACATCATAGGTACGCATTGTAGCACACATTCAAGCATGCGAACTGTTGACTTCTCTTGCGAGGAATGTTATCTGAGTGATTTATTGGGAAGAATGCAGGTTAACACACACAACATAGAACACAGGACATTGCATGTCCTGGGTATCTCAATGTAACACGTCGGTGTGAACATGTTCCATGGAAATTAATGGGTCTCATGTTCACACATTGTGCCGGAGCTGGAAATTTGCATGAGAAAGCCTTCATGAACAATCCACAAAGACTCATCGTCAGCTGCTGCACTGGACGTGGTTTACATGAGGTCATGGTACCAAACACACAATAAAACAATCTATAGACTGTTTACACCAAACACCGAATTGTACAAAACAAATGATTTACTGTAGCTGTCTTGTAGTAATATAGCAACAAGTTAGATGTTACGAAATGCAGGGAACCCAACCTGAGAAAAGTAATTTCAGGGAGGTGCCCTTCTCATTTCAGGGAGGTGCCCTCTGCCCCCCCCCCCCCCCCCCAGAATTAAAAAAAAAAGACAGCATAGAAATGAATAGCTAGATTGCTATTGGCTATTTGAATTTGCAATAGCCAATCGCAAGCTGTCTATTGCACCCGCCCTCTGCTGCTGTGAATCAGCAAAGAGAGTACCTGATGGAGAACTTCAGGTCCACCTCTGCTGATTGACAGCAGCAGTGGGCGGGTGCAATAGTTAGTCTGCTATTGCAAATTCAAATAGCCAATAGACATCTAGCTATCCATTTCTTTGCTGTCTTTTTTTACTCTGGTGGCGGCCGGCGGCTCCGATATCAGAGTAAAAAAAATAAATCAGACAGCAGGGAAAGGTTTACTCCGGTAGATCGAGCAGAGTAAACCTTTCCGGGAGAAAACGTTTCTCTCCCGGGCGGCCGGGAGTCGCTATGTAATAGCAGGGGACTCCTGGAACGTCCGGGAGAGTTGGGATGTCTGCAAAATGTGACCAGTTACACAACAGGTAAACTGGCACATGTGACCTCTTCAGATGATTATTTTCTGCTTTTCATTCTAGCATGATAGACATTGTGTATAGTGCCATATGCAATCTACCTTTTCTGCTTTAACACACATGCCATTTTGATGTATTTATATGCATTTATTATGTCTAACATAAATCTGTGATGTCACGATATGGGTGTGTTAGTGGGCGGGACTATGAGTTACCACATATCTGTCTGTTTATTTAAACTCACATGGTAAGTGTACACTTTGTCATTGCTGAAGCCTGATGAAGGGACCCTGCAAGGTCCCGAAAGCGCTTGTATCCATTCTGACAACTTGTTCAATAAAATGAGCATTTGGTGATTCCAAAAGGATCTTCGATGTGCTGATCTTCGACCTGTCACACCCTATCTGCTATTTCATAGGGGTTTGCTATCCTCCTATGTGATGGCAATAAAGTTAGTGTAAAAAAAATGAAAAAGTGTTTAATAAATAAAAAAATAAAAGTAACATAAAAAAATGCAAAATTTTTTTTTTAAAGTTCCCCCGCCCTCCACATACATACACACGTCGGTGCACCTATGTGTAAAAAGGAAAATTGCGCTAAACATGTTACATATTGCCCTGAAAGTGAGAGCAATAATTCTAGGCCCATCAATCACTGTTAACACTAAACTGATGAGTATTAAAACCTTTAAAGTGTCTTCCCTATGGGAAATTTGGTGTATTGTAGTTTTTTTGCAGCTTCACGGATGAACGCAATTTTAAGGCTTGACATGTTTGGTATCTATTTACCTGACGTGACCCTGTCTTTTATATTCTACCAAAAATGTTGGTCTTATATTCTGTTTCT